ACGCTTTCATGTGAAGCCCAGTGTCTGTTTCATTTTTTGCGTCCACTGGTAAACACGGAGCCAAAGGCAGATGTGTCGTACTGAGAGATTATTGTCTAACAGAATTTGATTATATTTATTTTAGTTGTATTTACTTCAAAATAACACAGTTATCCCATTGCACTGCTGGGAGGATGTTAAGTGCGACCAATGACACTTCTTTGTTTTCAAACCTGACCTGTAGCTGGGTGCTTCGGTGCCCACAGGAGACTCATTGGGCTGTTTAGTAAAGACAGGATAGTGGTGGGTGTTTGTTGTAAACTGATGCCTGGAGGTAGTTCCTGGTCACTTCAGGATTATCTGGACTAAAAGAGCTACATGCCACAAACTCTGAGCCTGAGGTAACACATGACTTAGCCGGACTAAAGCCGGGCCGACCTTTACTTTCTCAAATGACTTTAAAACACTTTTGTCCTTTGGCATATTCAATCATAATTCTATGGGAAGCTGACCACTGATTCTTAAAAGCCACTCTCAGTTTAGGTTGTTCTTTACCCTGAATTGTGTGCTGACATGTAGCTTGGACCAGGTCCAAAGTACATTCTTCAAGAGCAACTTTCTAAAGAGAACCTGGATTGATGTTTTGAGCAGTTTATGATTAAACTATTTCCTTCTTTTGTTCACAGTGTTTCAGTGGATTCATAACTTTTAAGTACCTGTAAGATTACCCTCGGGCCTAAGCAGCCTTTACTTGGATATTACAATCAATCTGTTTTCAGCCCTCGGGGCTAAGCAGCCTTTACTTGGATATTACAATCAATCTGTTTTCAGCCCTCGGGCCTAAGCAGCCTTTACTTGGATATTACAATCAATCTGTTTTCAGCCTAAAAATGCTGTTTCTGGTGCCAATTTAAGATGCCTTTGTGAATCTGATGCAGCGTCCTAGAGTTCAACAGCGTCACACAATGTTAGAGTAATATCAGACATCCTTTGTTAAGTGAGCTTATTCTCATCTGTGTCTTCATCGAGAATATCCTGACGAATATGATGACAGGATCCTTCCTGAATGCAGCAAGTGTTTAAATGCAATGATGACACCTCCGGTTATAAATGCTGCTATTGTGCAACAGGCTGTAAAGTAACTACTGCAGGACTTTGATTTCAGCATATTTGAGTCATCATGTCTGCAATTACTTGGCATTTATGACAGGCTCTGCAGTCAGAATGAAAGTGTTCTACTTCCTCACTGTCAGCTAATATTAAATGAGTGCAATATAAATGTATTTATTTGTGATAAAATATGAAGATCAAACACTCTAGGAGGAGGACTCTGGTGTGCAGAGCTCTTTTCATTACTTAGTTATGACTCCTTCGGCCTTCGTTATCTGAATTGATCAACAGTAAAGTTATATTAAACTGTTTATGCTGTTCTCAAATCATATAATTAAAATATGACTCTTAAAGTATGACAAAATGTTTCAGTAGATATTGATCACAGATAAGAGTTTCTATTAATAATGAAACAGCAAATACATGACTTGTCACAATAACATTCATCAAGTATCAAGAATTCATGATGGCAAAAATATTTACAAATAATCAAGATATGTGTATGTTAATATTATTATATAAGATCTTGGAGGGAATCTTTGGTTTTTGATTGGTGTTTTAGGGAAATTGAGAAGCATTTCAGTTATGGCATGAATTCATTGATTTATCCTAACATTACTTGCATCTGTTTATCACCTGATATGAGTTTTGGATTTCCTTTCGTGTGGCCTTTCTCATCTGCCGACTTATGTAAAGAAATAGTTTCTGGTCACAGAAGCACCAACCGGATGTTTCACTTCATCTCACATACCTTCACCCCGCCTCCTTATCCATTCATGTTGTCACTCGACAGTAGGAATGTTTCTGTGACCAGTCTTTCCAGCTCGTAAAGTTCGAAACAACTCCTGCAACAAATCTCCCCTTGAAGGTTCATCTTAGGTCAAGGGTTATTGCAATATTGAAATGCAATTGGCTGGCATTTTTGGTATTACTATTTTAGGCGTCATTAAATAATACGTTTACATTTGAAGATGATGAATCCTTTAATGACATGATGTGAAAAAGCTACATCTGATTAATTAAATACTGAAAACTTTTCAGCTGGGCTCTTATAATAATAATATTTTATCAATTTATTACGCACCTCAGAATCACGAGAACAAGAACACGTCATTTATTCCGGGGGGAAATAACGTTGTTTGACTGTCGCACTATTTTAGAAATATTTATATAAACATAAGAAGTTGAAGGAAAAATGTGCAATGAGGATCATTGTAGCTACTTAAACACGGCATCAGTTTAGAAAAATGAATAGGGATGTTGTTATCTATAAGTAATGGGCGTGTCAGATAAGATGATAGTGGTGACTTTTTTATAGAATGTTTGTTCATGTAATACCCTGCATTGTTAAGGCCCAGTTCCTCCCTTGAAATTGGATTTTTATTTTTCACTTTCAAATTTTCTCTGCATTATCCCACAAGAGCCCCAAATGCTCAGAAGACTTGTCCCCTGATCTGTGTTGCTATGGAGTCCCTGGCAGCCTTCGTGTAGGCTTGGCTGTAAACATTTCAGGGTTGTTGTACATGGTTTGCTGCAGGTGCCAGCAGTTTCTTTCTTACCTTCGCAGCTAAGTATAATCTCCAAGTTGACTTGGCTTAATCTTATTTTCCCCATCACTTTTTGTTCAATCATATTTCAGCAAGTTCAATGAAGCCACTTAAGGACTCTTTTTAACACATGGGCTTTTCTTTTGCTTCATTTCTGCTTGACGGGATTCCACATGACAATACCACTAACCTGTTGAGCCAGTTGAAGTACAGAAAAGGGTCAGGGAGCACAGTAAACAAGACAGGGAGAGGGAAAGAGGTAGGTTGAGTGGAGGAGGGGGACAGAAGGGGAGTTAATTCAGTCACTCAGCCAAAAAAACAGTGCCACGCCCCAGGTGCCAGGGCTAGTAAGAGCAAGCAGCAGGAATGTGAGGGAATTGAATGGGAGTGTAAGTCCTGCCATTCACATGGTGAGTGCTTTCTTTTTTCACCTTCAGCCGGCACTACTTACCATATAAACATAGCACTAGGTATGTTTAGGGTATAAAGAGCACAAATATTAAGTGTTTGGTTAAAAAAATATGCTTTGGTGCAGGATTTCTAATGTGAAACGTGTGTTTTTAAGTGTGGTTTATTTAGTATTTTTCTGTTAATTAATGACAGTGAAAGCTTTGTGAAGCTTTTAATGAGGGGTTGCCACTTTTTTTATTAGTTGATAGTCATCAAATAGCATGGATAGACCTAATCAAAACGATCACATGTGCATGGTCAGGCTTTAATCTGTTATGATGATAATCACAGAAGGACAGAAAATGTAAGGTTTTCCTCAGTGGTCTGCACAACATGGCTTGAGTCTAAAGTTAAAATCAAAACATCACGTGATGCAGAGTTTGTTCAGTTTATTTCCCAGCAAAAAGGACTGACTTTTGTACGTCTCCTGTGTGAAAGGGACAGTGTTTTGTCACATGTAAATAAAGAATTGCACTTGGGAAACAAAAATGCCGCAAAAATATATATTTTTTCAGTCTTAAAAACGTCAAGGGACTGTGGAAACACTTTGAACAGGCCAGCCAGTGATTCAAGACCACTGCTCCGAGAGAAGAGTACATATTTTCTGTCTGTGCGGTTGGCAATCTGTTTACTGGAAGTGCTGCTCACTCTGAGCACATGTTGCTGCATGTGCAGTCAGTCAGTGAGCCCCAAGAAGACTTCAGAGTTAGCAGGGGCAGAGAAAGTGTTTTCCTGGAGGTTGTGGCGGGCGTTTGTGTGTATGTGCATGCATGTGTGTCTAAGATTTTGTTTGGAGAACTTAGCAAATAACCAGCAAAACCACACTAGAATCCTGTGCGTATCTGAGGTTCAGTGTGACTTATATGAGTTTGCTGAGTCCAGATTTAAGCTCCCTTTCTGGGAACCAGCATTCCCTGCTCTTCTAAAGCGAGCTGTAGGAGACTGGAGGGCTTTGGGAATCAAGAGGCATGGGCTGGTTTCAGTATGTCCCAGGTTTGTCTATTGTACACAGCGAGTGGTAACAATGGGAGGGTTAAGTATCTGATATACACACCGAACCCTGGGACTCAGCTGCAAGTAATTAAAGCTGGCAGTTGGCAGAGAAGAGAGTCAGGCGACTGTAATGGCCGCTGTGAGTTCATACCATAATATTTGGATGATGAATCAAGCTGCTAGTAAATGTGTTGTAATGCTGTTGACCCAAGGCTTTCTCCCCTAACCCAATCCTGTTGGCTGTGAGGGAGGCACAGAGAGGAGAGAGAAAGGCTTTGTACCACCCTGCAGGCTGTTGGTAAAAAGATGTGCAGTTTATTCCGTACACAACAACTTTTAGCTTTTACTTCAGTGCTCTCTTCTTTTTCTCCTTTTTTCCATTTGGTTTGGTCCTTCTCAATGTGTAATCAGAGCCCAAATTCACCATTTTAGCTTTCAATAATTCATAAAGAGAAGATGTAGATCACATAGGGCCACTATTTAATTTAGGAAATTACATTTTTTTAATTGTTATATATATATGTGGCATGATTCTTGCGGATGTGCAGCCTCTGGGAGAGTTTAGTAAAGTAAAGAAGATGAAATATAAACCAGTTTGGCATCATCCTGCATGTTTTTCAATAGACATCATTCTGCATTGCGATCATTATTTTGTCATTTATTAGTTTCGTTGCCAAAGGTTTGTTCTTACACTGTAAGAACAAACCTTTTTCATACTGTCATTACGACATCAACCTTAATAGAACTTCTGAGAAAAGAATGACTCAACACAACATACACTTATGTCATTTTAACTTCTGCAAAAGTCATTGAGCTGACATTTGTGAATCATAATTCTCATTTAATCAACAAAAGCTGTCTGGTTCATGTAAGTATGTCACCTTATCATTCTTTTTACATGTCCCATATCTCTCTCAACAGAATCAGCGTATGAACTTCTTCCCAAGGAGCTACAGTTGCCTTTCTCCACTCAGCAGAAGCCAAAAATCATGAGTCAAAAGAGCGGCGGAGAGGCAGGGCCTCCCCCTTCAGCTGCTGTTGCATCAGGTAGGATCCCACTCCTATTATTTGTATGTCTCCTCTGTGAGCAAGACGGACCCCCCAAAAAAGAAAGCAAAACAGTCTACATCTGTTGGCAAACAAACACCTGTATATGACAGTCTGTTGCTCTATGATCCTCATGTCAGTCCCAAAACTGAAAAAACTACTGTGTAAAAAGGAAGTTGCATAATTGGAGTAAAGTCAGCTCAAAATGCCCCCCCCCGTCTGTACAGTATGGTCTGTAGATTGTGGTCACAAGTGTTGACATGCAGTCCATGCACTGAAGGTTTGGATACTATTTAGATTCCTCTACCTTTTTTCTTTGTGATCCGACTGTAACAAATATTAATAGTTTAAACCGCACACAGAACCCAATAATGATGAGAGAGCCCAACAGAGCTTAATATTGAAAGTGCTGCATACTCAGAACTAAATACTTGGTGGGATTTAACAGCTTTCTTTTATTTCTTAACTTTTGTTAGAGAATTAGGAAGCTTTGAGTGGGTGTAATCACCTTGTTGACCATTTTGCATTTTCAATGTGGAGTTGTTGAGAAAACAGTCAGTGAAGTTCAAAAGTCCAATAAATCCAATTTAAGGTGTGGCCGGTTATTGTGGTTGATAATCTGGTTTAAAACTTCCGAAAAGAGCTAACATCCTGATTATTATGCCTGCAGTGTGGTCACATAAGAAAGGCTCATTTACAACTTTAAAATAGTGTCAGTATCGTGTTATGATCGGACAGTATTTTTTTAAACAACATTTTTACCATTGGAAAGGTAGGTTAGGCATTTAACTATAATAAGCAGTTTAATGCTGAGGTAACAAAATCACAAAACAAGATGAGTGTACAGTGTTTACAGTATAGAAGACGTCTTAAGTTATAAGGAGACTGAGCCTATGTCTCTGTCAGGAAATGGTCAAGAGACACTAATTCTGCGTCAACTCTCTTACATTTTTAATTTGACCTTTCACATTTTCATTGTGACTGCTTGGCCAGTCTCCCAATTGGCAAATGATTAAAGGAAAAATAGGATGTGTGATAAAGGGTAGTAATCCAACAGTTTAGTGGACATACATGTCCGCAAACGTAAAGGATTTAGTCAAAATCAATTAATTGTAGAGAGATACTGTTATAACAAATATATTCTTACTTTCTGTCTTGAGCTCTCTTTAAAAAAAAAAAAAATGTCTTTTAATTTCCCCAAATTCCCAAATGGTTTTCAGAAGAAAAGCTTAAGATTTAAAATATCAAAAATAAATGACAGTGTTTGCTTCACTGTAGCTGTTTTGCTCTGCTCCCCATTGAAGCATCAAGGCATTAGAGTGAGTTTCAGTAAATCCATGGACTTCAGTGCTCCATTACAGCCACTTGCAGTGCTCTGACCTGTCGGAAAAATTTGGTCTGTAAAAGGAAAAAGGTGAAGTATATTTTACTTTACATGGAACTATAAGTTTAAATGAAAACTACAAATAACATCATCTGGCTTTTATGTCTTTGTTAATGTTTCATTTCAAATATATGTTTCTTTAAACATACTTCTCATTTATAAATATTGTGCTTAGCAACACAGGGTTTCAATCATTTGCAGCACTGCTAAATACAAATAGGGTATATTGCAAAAAAACATTCCACCTCTCAAGAGCAGAAATAGCACTGGACATCCAATGTCATTCAAGTATTTGGTCTTATATTTAAGTTGCTATTGTAGGTTTTGTTGGTCTCTGATCATGTATATGACTTTGTGTTTTGATACTTGCTCAAAATGACACTACCTTCATTCTTTTTATGTGCCTCTTTTTCTTTACGATTGTGTGTTTTGCAAACTAATGAGTCACCAAACAATGCAGAATGTCAACAGCAGTCTAACTCCTTTTTACTATCTGCAACTTAACCAGACTTTTCCCCACTCTTCATCTAGTTCATTATAACTATTTGAATGCTTTTGAAATCACAGTGTATGTCAGCATGCTGGAGCAACAGTTTTGAAAAACAAAAATACCCTGTGTTATTTTTCTTTAAAAAAATTTGAATACATTTTAACTCCTATTGCTCATTCCCTGTCTCATTTTTATATTCCAGGAAGTTCCCTCTGAAGCAGGGAGTGTCTGCATATAAAATGGTCTGCAGTTCTCTGCTTCATAGGTCAGAAGCTTGTTTATTTTGTCTCTGTGGCTACGTTCAGTCCCAACTAAATGAACTTTTGTAGCAGAAAAAAAGAAAACAATTAAAAGTAAAAGCTCAGAAAAATTGGCATGCTACATATTTGTACATATAACTGTTTTGAACTTGCCTCTCCATTTCATCATTTTGGCAAAGTCTTTAGTTGAACACGAACAAAACGCTAATATTAATGATAAATTAATTCCGTTTTTTGTTGCAAATTAGTTAATCCACAAGCAGTTTTTGTGTACATTTTTTTCTAAATAAGGGCCATGGTTTTTTTTTTATCCCGTTTTTTGCCCCTTTTTAGCCGCACCGATACTGCGCTTCACATACTGCACATTTACAAATCCTCAGACATCGCCAGCACCACAGACACACACATTCAAGATCCAATGAAAAGGGGGAGATTTTAATTGGATGAATCTAAAATTGCTAAAAAAGGCAATAAACCAAAGCAATCATGAAACAAATTGCTGCTTAAATGGGACTGCTAGCCAACACTGGTTGAGAGGCCTTTATTCACTGTCTAATTATTTGCACTGTAGATGCCATGTCCTCCTCTGTGACCATGGAAGGCCCCCGCAGTGCTTTTCCCACCTCTTCCAGCCCCACCATGCATTCCAGCGCTTCGGCCACTGACCGGAACGCGGTGCACGGCGGCAATGTTGACCCGGAGGACTGCAGGAGTAGCAGAGTAGTTCCAGAGGTTGTGGGAGCAGAAGGTGGGAATGGCAACAGCAGCAATGGTGGTAACTGCAGAGGCAGCAGTGAGCAAGGAGGAGGAAGAGGAGTAACATCCCAGGAGGCACAACTACATCACCAGATGACCCCATCGAAGCGCCGCACTGTACTGAATATTTCGCCGCCTCCGCAAGACCTGTTTGATACCAGCCAGATGTCCTGCCAGGATGAAACATCCCTGGACTCAGAGCAGAGTAACAGCATTTGGATGGAGGACTCTCTGTCCAACTTTAGCATTATGAGCACTGTCTCCTACAATGACAACACAGAGGTGCCAAGGAAGTCCCGCAAACGTACCCCTCGGCAGAGGCCTGGTCCCAAGTCTCGGCCAGCAGGGGAAACCAGCATGGACGTGTTTGATGCAGACAGTGCCAAAGGGCCACACTTTGTCCTGTCACAGCTCGGCCCTGACAACAAGACGGGATCCAAAGGAAGGTTTGTATGACGAATAGTTTTACTTGGTATGATATACGATCACTTCGATGTGTAAGATTTTAGTGTACATGTCATGCTCCTCTATATCTTTGACAAAGGATGCTATGATTGTGTACAGATGGTTGAAGGAATTGGTCAATTACAAAAGAAGGAGTTTTAAGGTCAAACGTAAGGACAGCACAAGCTTGCAGGTCAAAGTTTCTGAAACTCTACTGGAGGGTTATAAGGATGGTGGTAGAGATCATTCTAAAACAATGCTCAGAAAACTCTAGATTGTATTTAACTGGAATCACATCTGGTGACTGGTAAAGCCATAGCTATGACTTTTGTGCTCATTAGATAAATAATTTCTTCAACATTCAATCAACCAATTCAGTGGAGTCCCCTGCCTTGTAAACATCTGCATGTATTGCGTTTCCTCACTTATTTACTGTAATCTGTATCCCAGCAAAGAAAACAAGGACTCCACTTAATGCAGGATGTCGCTTGAGTAGTACATTGATTTGTATGCATTTAATATTCTCCTAGCGCTAACTTTACGCTCTTAATTAAGTCATTCATTTTGTTACCATTGTCCGAAGGGCCCTTGTGGATAATCTCATAGAGCACTCATCAGTATAGGCGTTATTAGGAAATCACTCATGGCACAAACAGATGGAAATCTTCAGCAAACTACTGTGGCTCTAAATATCCCACCACCCTTTGAATGAAGAAGAGCGGTCAGATCAGAGGAGAGGGAGGGGCAGGATACTGAAGTACAAACAATGGTCGGCCACAGTGAATCAGAGCCTCGCTCAAAGACCTAGGATAAGCAGAGCCGATTAAATAAACCGATAACTCTGAACCCTTTAAGAGATGGGCATTGAATATGCCTGGTTGATGCTCAAAGCATCTTGGGGGCTGGAGGGTGAGTGGTTTCTGAATAAATAGGTACATACGTAAGTTGCATTCATCCTAAACATCTTCCACCACAAAATGTGAAGATGCCAGCCAGGTTGCACTAATTGTTTCAAATACTTGTATTGAGAAGAAGCATACAAGTGTAATCAATAGTACAGACTTCTTTGGGGTGGAAATCGTGCTTCTCTTTTTCAACATAGAAGACAAACAGAACAGCCAACAAGAAATAATAAAGAAAAAACATAGCATGACAGGAATACCATACTTAATGACATACATAGTCATAGTGGGAAAGAACATACACAATAGTATATATAATACAAATAAATAAACTTAAAGGGTGCAAATGAGCCCAGACTACCCCCGGTTGCACTAATTAAAATAAAATGTATTTAATATGTTAGAATTAGGAGTAATCTGCTGGTGTCTCTGTCAAACCGAATCTTCATTGCAGCTCTGATGATCCTCAGACAACTCACCACAAAGGAGGCGCGCTGTCGATGCAATTCCCACAGAAGAGTGAGGGGAAGGAGCTGAAGATCGTTGTGCAGCCGGAGACTCAGCACCGAGCTCGATATCTGACTGAAGGCAGCAGAGGGTCCGTGAAGGACCGCACTCAGCAGGGCTTCCCTACTATTAAGGTAACCTTGAAACAGCCTCCAAAATGAACTCTGTAGTCAATGCCTTTACTTAAGGTTAATGGTTGGGGTAATGCCAGGGGCTTTGAAATATGTTCCTGAAAGATTTGCTATTTTAAGAGCCATAGGAGCAGTGGGGCAATACAAAGGTTGAATATGCTCATGGTAGAATAGTTAAGGTCACAGTGTAAAAGAGTCTTTTTCTGGAGACTAATATGCTCAATAGGGAAGACCTAATCACGTTTCATTTCCAGCCCAAATGGAGACTGGTAATATAAATTGCTTGTTAATTTTGTACTATATAAGTAGAGAGAAGTGGGTCCTGTTCCAAACATTAAACATATACTTCATGTTTCACTTGTTACCACCTGCATTACTTTTGAGTTGTGGTGTAAGGTGTTTCTACAAAAGCTTTATGGCAATTACCTCGTTATATTTTGTATATATATTATTTGATTATTATTAATGTCAGTTCTTTGTATCCTGAGGTGATTTGGAGATGAATCTGGGCCCAGAGCATTGTGGGTGCTATTGAATAAGTTACTGTTTATACTGTCAGGGCTTGTGAAGAGCAAGAGGATCCTGATGTAATAATATAATGGTCAGACAAGGTAACATCAGAAGGTAACAAATACATGTCTGCTTTTTAAAAGGCTGACTCGATTGCACAAGAGGGTAAGCTGGTAAACAAACTGAGAATACAGGACACAAGAGGCTGCTAAATGAGAAAATGTATAAATGCACTCTGGGTGCATTTGCTGGACAGGTAGAGAATCATCTGTGTGAAACATGTTTGATGGTCCTATAATTTAAACTTTTGTTGTCTTTTGTTGTTCCTCATACAGCTGGAGGGAGTGAATGAGCCAGTGGTTTTGCAGGTGTTTGTGGGTAATGACACCGGGCGCGTTAAGCCTCATGGTTTTTACCAAGCATGCAGGGTGACCGGCCGCAACACTACCGCCTGCAAAGAGGTGGACATCGATGGCACCACTGTCATCGAGGTGTCCCTGGATCCAAGCACCAACATGAAACTAGCGTAAGCCATTTTCTTTTACATTAAAAGTGGGTTGTTTTCTTCTTCTTTTAATATATTATACAACAAATAAAGTGTTCTTTGTTTGTGCCCTTCATATATAATTCAAACCAATTGCTTAATAAAGCAACTGCATAATCAAGCAAATCATTTCTTATGACACACTTTCAAGTTGTTTAAACTAACATGGCGTCTCTGTGCAGGGTGGACTGTGTTGGGATCTTGAAGCTCCGTAACGCTGATGTCGAGGCTCGCATTGGTGTTGCGGGATCAAAGAAAAAGAGTACACGTGCACGGCTGGTGTTTAGGGTCAACATCCCCCGTGCAGATGGATCAATGCTCACTCTGCAGACCCCTTCTTCTCCAATCCTGTGTAGTAAGTCTGTCCCCTTATATTTCTCTCTGTGGAAATGCTGTTAATGCTGTTATAAATAAAGGTATAGGAACTGTTTCACTTGAAGGAAGAGGCTAAATAGACAGATGACCTGTAATCAATGTGTGTCTGTAATCTTCTGTTTATAATATCTCAGCCTATGATGTTAATTATTATAGGCTGAGCTTTTCAAAACAGAAGAGGTCCTGTTTCCAAAGCTGAATCCTGCCCGAGGTCAGGATAATTCGTCTTTTTAGGGTCACATTTGAGGAGAGTGTGTACAGATCCCCTCAGAGCCGAGTGTTATGTAATAATGCATACAGTATGAGGGTGTGGTTGGTTTCATAAACAGTTAAGACGCTTAAGGCTATGAGAAAGTTTATGTCTAAGAGGATTTGGATCAGGGAGAACTGCTGCGAGAGAGACACAGGGGAGAAAGAGAAGGAGAGGAGGAAACAATAGAAGTGTGAGGACCTCTATTGTGTGCACAGAGCTAGCGTGCAATCCAGGGAAATATGTTTACAAAACCCCCCAGAAATTGCAATCCCCCCTTGGCATCCAGAATACTAAAAAAGATTTGGGAAATGGTTGGGCTGGATTTGAGCTCCAAGATTGTTCAAAGTTGTTATTGCCCTTTTCAAGGCCTGTGAGATATAGCCAGTATTTAAGTTTTATGAAAACACATCAAATCATCCGGTTGCCTGCAGTTCTATAATCTTATAAAACATTGAATTTGGTTTTAATAAAACATTATAGGATGTTTTTTAGTCTTATATTGCAAGTCTGTTTTTGTGTCAGATTACAAACATAACACAAATATAAACTACAGTGGCAGTTTAATCATTTTTCAAAGTTTTGTCAGATTTTTTTGTTATCCAATTATCATTAAATGTATTACTTTGCGACATTTTTAACATCATACATTATTGGTTAAAACACATTTAATCCAATAGGCTCTTTTTGTCTCTTTTTAATAAACCTGGGTATGTTTGATGAACAATAATAAGTGACCCAAAAATATCTGCTCTGTTTACAGCTCAGCCTGCAGGAGTGCCTGAAATCCTGAAGAAGTCACTACATACTTGTTCAGTGAGAGGTGGAGAAGAGGTCTTTATTATTGGCAAAAACTTTCTTAAAGACACCAAAGTCATATTTCAGGAGAATATTTCTGGTAAGAATTATTATTTTTTATAAAACGATTTTCTTCCATACATTATTGTCCTCCAGTAAACGTGACATCTTCTCTCTGTTCCAGACGAGAAATCCTGGAAGGCAGAGGCTGAAATCGACATGGAGTTGTTTCACCAGGTAAAATGCGATTGCTCTTGTGTTATTTTTGTACTGAATGATTGATTCGAATGACTAATCAGCAGAGCAGATGGAAGCAGTCCTTTCAGATTTGTTTTGGGCTTTAGATGTAATCATCTTAAATGTGCTGCCCGTTCAAAGGTTTGAGTAGTCTCATTGTGCTCTGACCTAATTACACTCATTCTGAGAGGCTAAACTGATTGTGTTCAACAGTCCAGTTTAAACCTTTGCCCCTGATAAACAAAATGGTCCAAGTAGATAAGTTGATGAATCTATAGCTGATGGTAAATGCTCTAAACTCATTGGATGTTATTTTGTTTTTTGTTAAAGATACCGTTTTTTTCAAACATTCCCAGTGTTGTTTGGGTTCATTGTTTCTGACTGGGGTGTATCTGTGGTGTAACAAACATATTGAATGCATTTCCTAACTAAAAAACATTTCAGCACTGTTGAAGTTGGCTAATGGCCTTTCTTATGAGGAAATGCTACAATTGTATAAGCTTTGCTGCCACCTGTTGATATGAGAGAGTCATTAAACTGAGGGATGCAGGCATTCGGTCAATATGGCCATATTTGGTTGGCCCAATCACAAAGTGAGAATATTGTGATTATATGAACTACATGATGATAATAACTGATTTGCATTTTAAGAACCATCATGTAAAAAAGATGAGCAGGTTTCATGCAAAAACCTTAGATATTTCCCTTTTTAATAAATAATTAATTTACAAGACAAATCTCTACCTTAACTCAGTCATCACTGTGTAAATCTAATCTTCTCATTCTTTATCTCCACTCCAGTAAATGCTGTATAACATCCTGCAGAAATGTGTATTGCATCACCCCTATGCCCATGATTGTTAGGGAACAAGATGCAAACAAAGTGTTGACCTGCTCGTTCTCATATTGCTTTTCAATATATTGTCAACATGCTCTTATCAACCCTTTGAATCATGATGCTGTTAGATCAACTGTTTTCATAACTTTTTGCTGACTTTTCTTTAATGATGGCCCCTCTATAGAATCATCTGATAGTGAAGGTTCCTCCGTACCAAAACCAAGCCATCACCTCCCCTGCGTGTGTGGCAATCTATGTGGTGACGAATGCTGGGAGATCCCATGATGTTCAGCCGTTTACCTACACTCCAGATTCAGGTTCGTTTTCAATTTCAGTTGATTTACTAAACCAGACAACATTTTTCATCTGGCTTTTTTGATAGGCCACTGATGGGGAGACCATGTCTTATTATACTATAGCATGTGAACTTGTGATTACTATAACTATTTATATTAATTATTAACTATAATTGTTAGAATTACTGGGTGGCACCACAGCTAGCTCAGTCAGTTTCTTGAGAACACCACCACTTACAATTTCATAGGATCAGAACAAATAATATTAGCAATCATTAGCAATATATTTCAAGTGCACAAAACACAGCCCATTTCTAAACAGGAATCCAAAGTCATCCATCTTCAACATTCTTTGATTGTAAGGTCTGCAAAAAACGCTACTCATACTAAACTTTGAAAGATGTGCTCATCAAAGTAACCAAATTATTATTTGGAACTGGTTGTTGTGGTTGTGTGGGCTCAAAGAGATAAAACTCTGTTTTTGTTTTTCCTTGTAGCAATAAATGATGTTGCCGTGAAGAAAGAGGCGCCTTCTCCAGTGAATACTTGTTCATTTGATGAAGGTTTTTATTCCTTTGTTAATTTTTTCACAACCTTGATCGTAGCCTTCTATTTGAATGTGTTTCTGAGATACTCACACTGTTCTGCCATTTATTCTGAATGGCTGAACGAAAAGCACAAGAAAACATTTTGAAATGATTTCTTGATCTTGCTCCTACAGTTGTAGATGGCGCCTTGATGCCTTCAATGTTGCCTTTAGTGAAGCGAGAAGATGTCACTCCGATGGAGGTCACCAGCAACCTCCAATCTTCTGGTGTATTTAAGGTATTATATTCATCTGACACTTCATTAACTGCCTCATTAATACCTTCTACATCAACACATTCAAGTATTTGGATATTTCAGATTATATTAATGTTAAGTAAAGTAACATCTATTCGATACTTTATTCTTTAGTCTATAAAAGAAGTGTAATTTCATGTTACAGATACATATTTTGTGAACATATGTCATGAACATCTTTGAGTGATTTTTAGATATGAAAAACACAATAAAACTAAAATAAAGCAATCTAAAAGCAAATTAAGCACACCTTTTATTATCTTTTATGTTGTGTTTTCACAGACAGGCGACCTGTGTCCAGCCCAGCAGAACCCAGACATGACTGCAGGACATAAAAACAGAGCGTTCTCCAACAACCTGTCTCAGCCCGCAGGCGACCCTGACAAAGGCCAGGCTCCTGTCTTTCCCAACACAGAGCCCTTAAGCACGATCCAGAAGCAGGACATTGCACCCGCCAGCTCTTTCTCTGTGCCCGCCGACTCTCTGCTGCAGCAGGGATCCCAGCAGTTCCTCCTGGAGCCCAGAGAGGGCCTCGGGCAGGAGAGGCCCGGTAACGGCTCTGGATCTGTGGGGAGGCTGTGTGGAGAGCCTGCGCCTCAACAGCAGCAACTCCCAATGTTCCCTCCAGACGAAGTAGCCCAGCTGGAGGAGGCAGTGAGGCAACTGAAAGCCAAAGGGTTCTGTAACCTACCACTTCAGTCTGACAACTCAATGGCAAAACAGCAGCAACAACACATCCAGCAACAGATCCAAAAACAGCAAATTCAGCAGCAACAAATCCAGCAACAACAACTTCAACAGCATCAGCAGCAACAGCAGCAGAATCTACAACAGCAGCTGTTTCAGTCACAGATCCAGATGCAGTGCGGCATGTTTCAGGAGCCCCCCCAGGCCAAGAACGCAGAGCAGCAGGGCCCCTCACAAGGAGTGGTGACAAACCAGGGGACTCTCTTCCAGCAGGCCCAACAGCTGCAGCAGCAACAGCAGCAGCAAGCAGCTCTCTTTCAGCAGGCCAGTGACCTGCTCTCTATTCAGACCACCTTCCTCCAGCAGTCACCCTCACACCCTTCCCCACCCATGTTTCACAATCCTAGTTCTTTGGCAGAATCACAAGACCCTCAGGGGGGGTTGTTTCAGAAAGCCTCTCAAGAGCAGGTCCAGGCCGCTCTTTTTCAAAACACCATGACAGTTCTACAGTCTCCAGACCAGCAGCCCTCAACCCCGGGACTTTTCCTCCCTCAGACATCCCTGCCCTCTCAGCTTGCTACCAGTAGTGCTCAACAGCAGCAGCAGCAGCAACAACAACAACAACAACAACTGGCCTTCCTCACTGCTCTACAAACGCCTTCCCCTGAACCACAATCAGTCTTTCAGGTTCAGGCCCAGCTTTCCCCCATCCAACAGAGAAGCCCCATGGAGCAGCAGCAGCCCCCCCAGCCTCAGCCTCACACACAGCCAGCCCAGCAGGCCTCGCTGTTTCAGAACATCACACAGCATCCATCTTCAAACACACTGTCTCCAGGTCAGCAGCAGCAGCAGGCTGGCCTACTGTTCTGCAACAGCCCTCTGTCTTCTCCAGATCAGGCCTCCAGCCTCCTGTTCGGCGGCCAGGGCCAAATGCCCCCGCTGACTAGCAGCAGTCTCGTTTCCCAAGAGCCCCAAAACCCCTCAATGCTCTTTTCCCAAGCCAGCATGGTGGCAGTTAACCAGCAGGACCGCTCTGAGCCCATGGCCATGGGGAACCCCACAGATCGAAGGCAGCAAGTCATGTTTCAGGAGCAGCAGCCGATGCAGCTGGGCAGCAGTTCAAACAGCCGGCAGGAGCAGCCTGTGGGCCTCTTTATGCCTCAGTCCAACATGGGGTCTCTGCAGGGGGGGCTGGCCGCTCAGGAGCTCGCACAGTCAGCCATGTTCGCCTCGCAGAATGGCGTGGCTAACCTCCAGACGACCACCTCGTCGCCAGTTCAACAGCCCGGGACGCTGTTTCAGAGCGCTGTGGGCGGGAGCATCAATCAGCCCAGCCAGCCGCAGCAGCCTGGCCTCTTCCTGTTCGGGATTCAGAACGGTAAGGAATTTGTTACAAAGGTGAATACACTAACAAACTGAAGTACGTTTACACATTAAAGGTCACCTATTATGCAAAATCTACTTTTTAATCTCTTTTATACATAAACATGTGTCCCCTCTGTGTAAAGAGAACCTGAAAGTTTCAGGAAAAAAGATTGGCTCACTTTTTGTCCTGATCCATTTATATAAATACCTCTCCAAAAACGAGCTGATCAGATTTTGGCCACTTTATGATGTCATAACAATTTTTTGGCTTGTGTAACCATTAGCCAATAACCAACCAGGGTAACCCCCCCCCCCTTATCACCTGAATCTCCTCGTAGATTACCATTGTGTTCTTTTTAACCAAATATCTCTCAGAGGGGCGTGGGGAGTGGCTCCTTATTTTCATTTTAGTAACAGACAGAGAATCAGCACTTTTGAAACAGAGGGGTTTATGGGTAATGCTACAATGCATGATCTGTTTGGTATTTTGAGCCAAACACTTCAGAGACATGTTTTGTATATATCTGAGACCTGGAATATATTGATGAAAAACAGTATAATAGGGGACCTTTAAAGAAACTTTGAACAATAAACTTACATTACAAACATACAATATAAGTGTGAGGTTTGTACACTCATTGTGTTCCCTTCTTGCAGAATGTGGCCAGCTGATGAACACTCCTGGGAACACGCTGTCGGATCAGATCATCGCCATCAGCCAGTCGGGTCAGAACCAGAGAGAGAGCGACGCACACATCCAGTCGCTGCTCTGCCAGTCTCTGTCTCAGAGCGGGCCGGTGCAGAACAGCATGAACTCCCCTCAGAACATGGAGAAGATCGACGACCTGCTGGTCAGCCTGCAGGAGTCGGGCAGCAACTTAACTCGTTCCTACTGACCTTCATACAGAATCTGTCTTTACTTTAATTTTGAAATTCTTGTAAAAATGTAGAGAAAATGGTTAAAATACTGTCTGTTGATAAGCACATGCAGTAAATGATTTGTGAATTGGCTCTGCATTATGAAGTTTAAGACAAACAGAACATTTTCTTAATTTATCTTATTACTAAATATCCTCTAACACATTATTCAGTTTACTGCCGGACGGAGGATTTATTAAGAGCAGTAAAGGTGCTGCTCGCCTTTCTGAGCCAGTCTCCCTCTCCCAAAAAATGTCCTCAAAATGAATTTCTAAAGTGGCATGGATGATATCTGTTAACTCATTATTAAGGACAAACTGGACATATGAACTGTGAATTTGGTTTGTAATTTCTTTGAAAAGTGAAGCTCTCTTGTTGACTTTATGATTGACTGTAACAGACTTGAGCAAAATTAGATAGACTTCAGGCAAGAACAGACAAATTGTCGTTATCGTTCCTTGTGAAGAGAAGCATTGAAGTGGTCTTGTTATCATTTATCTTATGAAGTTTTGAGTGTATCTGTAGATAGTTTGTCAGTGATTTTATCTGCTGAGTCTTTCTGTTCTCTAGGTGTTTTCTAAAGTGTTCTCCAAAGTGTTAAGTGGTACCATGAATAGTGTTCCCTTTGATACTAATTGTGTAGTGTTGTTACTTGGAAGCTAGAGTGTGCAGTAAAGCAGGAAGGTTTTGTATGTAGGGTTGAATAGATCAATTTTGTGAAAGGTACTCGCTGTATCTCATGGTTGGAAAAGTGTTCACCCAACAGGGCAGAAAGTGTATTGAGGGAAGGTTAGAGAAGGCAGATTATAAAGAGGTAATGGAAAAGTAGAAAAGTGAACTGTGTCACAAACACGTGTCTTTTATGTTGTTGCGGATTCATTTTAATGTTGTAGCAGCTATTGTGCCCCTGAATATATAAATATACTGTTTCTGATAATCCAAAAAGTGACTTTATTGATATGATTTAGAAAGAAACAGTGTGCAGTAGGAGTATAACTACAGTGATGGTGCGTTTTGTTGATATTTACAAGAGGCCTGGATAAACTAGATCTTGTCTTCTTGATGTCTGGTGCAATGTGTAGTTTAGCAAACAGCTGACGTTGAGGCGGTGCAGTAAAGGTTGGTCTTGAGTTTCTTTACTTGCTAGCAGTAACGTTAGTCTGACACTCCCATGTCTAACCAAAAGTCAAAGTAAACCTAATCTGTTGTTCCTCTTTTGAATGGGTGTGTGCCCTGGCAGGGGTGTTGGTTTAGATAAGAAGAGGTATTTTATCCCAGAAGTGTTTAATTTGTCCTGGTGTGCCAAACAGCCTTTACCAACAAAATATCTTTCTATATGAGCTACGTTACCATCTCTAGCCCAGTGTACAGATAGCACTTTGTGATATAGTAAGCAAACATGTTGAGGCTAACATTTAGTCTGCATTCATCAAACCAAACTGTGTCAGTTTGATACTTTTAACAACAGACTCTTCTTTTAATTCACAACAAAGAGAGGAATCTTTTAAGAAAAATAAAACAAATATTGGCTGATTTTTGTTTTTTACTTGTAAATTCAGCACTTTAGGATGCTGTCCTTTGTGACCACTTTACCCATCGAGTGTACAGTACAGTCCCACGAGAGGTGGTGTGGGTTATTTCAGCCGCCTCTTCCTCATTGTTTACAGTGGGGAACATACTTATTTGTTTAACTTGCTGTAACAACTTTCAACTACTCAATCCCAAAACCTAATGCATTATTTATTCATGAAAACAGAATTGGAAATCTGGACAAATGGGGAAAAAGTGGCTTTTTTCCCAATAATCTATTTCACGTGACAAACAACTCATATTCAAATACAACTACAGGAGAGAGATAGTAGGACGTAATATTGTTATTGTGTGATTTAGTGTCATTTTAATGGCCTCATTCTGCGTCAGGCACGCATTACTGGAATAGAATTCTTAAACCAGCTAGAAAAGAGCCTTTTTAAACAGTTTATAACAATGTGAGTGTTGAGGAGAAGCAACAGTTTGTTGGATACAGCTGTACATTGTACATCTCATCCAGGTTAAGGTATTAGCATGCAGTAACAGAGCCAATTTTACATGTTCTCTTGTAAATACAGTCGCCTGCCGTTAGCCAGCGGCCTCAGGACCAAAGTTTGGTTTTATGTCTCAAAAGCTTTTTCACTTAAGAAACACATGAACATACAGTAGAGCATCATTATCATCATTATAAGGCCTGATGTCCTGCTGCCACACTTTTCTTTCTGTTTGTGTGTTTGTTGTCTTTGTGTCATGATTAGTTTCACTGTATGCGTGAACAAGGGGCTGGTCTCTGATGATGACAGAATTAGTTCAGTTTTATGCTTGTTTTTATGTGTACAGTTTGTTAGAAACACATTAACACCGTTACATTTGATACACCTATGTGTCAGAAACAGCTGTTTTATGATGGATAATATGTCAAATTGACTAATGTGATTTGAGGGTTTTAGCGGTGTGAGGGTTTTTTAAAGGGACCCTACTCCTGAAGGAAACCTAACTTTGGAGAAAAGATCTATCTGCGATTGGCTTTCTTAAACTCGTGAAATAGAGGAGCTTACATTTCCAGTGTTGAGTATTTATGACTTGATTTGTTTTTGTTTTACAAAGTTCAGATCTTCTTTTTTTAAATATGTGTAGTACCCGTGCCTCTCTTCAGAGAATCATTTCTAATTTATTTGTGTGTTGTTCATTATATATTTTTCTTCCCTTAATCAGTTGTGTTCAGATATTTTATAACTGTATTAATGACAGCAATGTGATTTGCCCCCCCCCTCCACACACACCTTCTGATACTGTACCTGGCCCCTTTTGATGATGGTGGTAATGTCTTTAAAGAAGATTGTACAAAATAAATGTATATTCCTGTGCACAGTTACTCCTTTGACTTTTATAATTATATACACTTTATTGTACATATCATGTGCTTGTAATTGACTACAACACACTGGCCCTGTTGTTTTTTTTGACCAAATAGTGAAACTCAGTCAAAATCAGAGATTCTTCAAAACAGGACCAACAAATGTCAGTATTTTACTACAAATATGTGAATGTGATTATACAGCAAGGCTGCAAATGTTTCACTTTGATCCAAAATGTTCTTTTATACACATACTGTGGATGTAATTACTTTTTAGAAATTACAGTTTCCTCATTTGCGTATTTACATAAACTGGATTTCTCATATTTCCTTAAAATGCTACTAACTTTCTCTGTTTCAACTGGTTTATCTTAACATTACCCATTCATTTAATATCAACACACTTAATCTGCTATCACAGGTTGTCAAACTGTTTTGATTCAATGTAACTTTAGACACCGGAAGATATTGTACATGTGCCTTGAGGAGATGTTGTAGTTTCAACCAGATTGATGTTTTATCATTGTTGCCTGTTAATACCCCACTGGTTTCTCCAGATGATGATTAGTCCTCATTTACTAGAATGTTTTAAGCCATAAGACTTTAACTGTACTTTAATTGCTCCACAATAGTGACCAGATAAATGTGGTTATGTTTGATAAACTTGTCGTGCAATTTCTGTTTCTGTTCTGTATGCATCCAACTTGTTTGTACTGAAGTATCCATTGCATTTATGTTATACAACGTAGATGCAGATATTGTTTTCCCTGAAACTGCTATGCAGCTAATATACTGTAAATGTAGAACTGTTAGTTATTGAATATATATTTTTCTAAATAGCATCTCCTGTTTCAGCATAAAGGGGAAACCAAAGTAGATGTTCTTTCTATTATTTATGTTGCTTTTTGAAATATTTTCTGATGCCTTGAGCGCCGCCTGAAACTGTTATAAAGTCAGTTAAAATGCAAATGTCTCTTCTCAACAACCATCTCCGACTGAAACGAGGGTCACTAATTGTTTTTCATTCTTTATTGCCTTAATGCTTTTTGGTTTTTTTGTGGATCTAGGCTTACTGTTTACTTGTACTTGTACTTGTTCCTAATCTGTCTGATTTCTCTTTGGTCTCTGAGTGGATGTCATGGTGTTCTCAAAGTAAAAGTCAATTAACATTCAAATATACTTTTCCTGTCATTTAGTTAACAATGTGATTTGCAAATTGTGCGTACTTTCATGTAATTGGTCACTTATATGTTCAGAATCTGGTATTATTATTTACCAAAGTTCCCCACATACCTGTAAGATCTTTAAAGTCTCTTCACTCCCAACACAAGTGAACCACTCTTCTAGTAAACAGCTTATTTTTGGTCCTAGAAAAAGCAAAGGGGGGTGTTACGTTTTTACCTTTTTGTTTCTAACCATGTGAACAACTGTCAAATAATCACCCTTGGAAAACCAATATATTTTCTTTGTGCTTTTGTTGGAATGTTTTACTCTCTTGCAAATTAAGTTTCTGTTAACTTGCTGCTATCTATATTAAACATATATACTTTAAATGTTTTACCTTTGAGCTTCTTTTCATGTATTTTGGTCTAAGCAGTACAAATTGAGACACATGTGCTTCTAATTTTGTTTTTTCCCGTACCAAAGTGACCATCTTCAACTGAAGTTACTTTGCCCCGGTTAATGGCAGGTGGTATTTCTTTTTTTATACTGATATTGTTTTCACAGAAGTGCATACATTTATATGTCATATCTACACAGAGCAGACATTGTGTAAATGTAAAGACACAATGTAGTCACTTGATTACAGCTTTAATGGAGACTCTCTGCTCCTTGACCCTGGCTTCTTTTTCAGATGCCTTCTTGTCGGCTTTCATTTGTCTCTTCAGCTCACTGATATGAAAGAGGAATCAAAGATGAGACATAGGTTAGATATTATAGTTTAATGTCAATGATTAAACTAAAACTTAAATTGCCCGGATGCTCAAGTGCACACACACATATTAGATTTTCCACATAACCACGCATTTAACTCTATTCTGGTGTTTATATAAATTATTCTGGTGTTTATATAAATAACCAAAAACATAGAAGTCCATGGAGAGAAACACTCATGCAGAAAGGGAAAGGGGACCATGACAAAAGGTTGGTTGTTTTTCTCATTGGAATGGAAAAGCCACCAACCTCTTGTCACCTCTCCAACGGATCCCATACATGTGTGTATGGACTGCAGCTGTACATGGGGATGCACATTTTAACCACTGTCCCCTGACCGCAAAGGCCTGGCACAGCTGCTGCCCGGCTGCCCTGACCAGGCACAGCATACTGAGCTACCAGTCAGCGGACAGACCCGAGAAAATAGATATTTATTCAAAGCAGTGTAGCTCACAGCATGTACAGAAAAAGGCTGTTTGGCCCACCAGGACAAATTAAACACAACTGGGATAAAATACCTCTTCTTATCTACACCAACATTCCAGAGCACACACCCATTAAATAAGGCAACAATAGATAAGGTTTACTTTTACTTTTGGTTAGACATGGGAGTTTCAGACTAACGTTGCTGCTAGCAGTGCACTTGATTACAGCTTTAATGGAAACTCTTAAGGCACATCCTTAACATTATTTAAACATATGAAACAAACGTGCAGTTGAGGAATTCGCAGCAAATGTCCCTTACCTAAAGTCGTATCCCTTTGACTCTAATTCCTTATAGAGGCAATACAATATGCCTTCATAAAGGCTTCAGTTATTTAACATAAAACCTTTGAAAATCATTCTGCCATGTATCATATCCAATCACAGAGAATTATAGCCTTATAAATGTTGACTTTACAACGTTATTGTTGGGTGTAGAGAACTATTCCCAAATTCTCCATTGATTAAGGGTTGAAATAAATAACAGGACAAGATGTTGTTAGTCTTTGTGCAACATAAAAAAAAAATCCAAAACTTAACTTTGACTTTATTGAACTTAAACTGTAAACCAAGTTATGACAGTTTTTGGAGGAGAAAATAGGATTATTGTATTACTTATTTAAAATATAATAAAACGGTTATATCTAGCTTTGTGTTTATCAGATTTATTATAAGGTAATTATCCGGTAAACAATCTATAATGTTATAATGTTTGCCAATACATTTATTTAAACCACAATTCCCCATGAATAAAACGAAGACAGAGTCATTGTGAATAATAAAACTTCTCAAGTCTTACCATAGGTAGACCACAGGGCCAAAACAAAAACAAAGAAATATTTATGAAAGTACAACCCAAAATTAACAATTTACATTAAAGGTCCCATGTCATGCTTTTCCGGTTATTACCTGTCCCCTTGTGTGTTATGTAGCTTTTTCTGCATGTAAACGGTCTGCAAAGTCACAAACCCTCAAAGTACTCCCTGTAGCGAGTAAAACTCTAACACAGAAAAGACCTGTCTCTGCTGCCCCAGAATGCCTCGTTGGAGATTTCTCTTTTTCTTCCTGGGTACAGTGACATATTTGGGTACAGTGACATATTTGGGTACAGTGACGTATTTGGGTATTAGTGATGTTATGTTTGGACCAATCCGCGGGCTTCCTCACACACACACACACACTCGGCGGGACGTTGCGAGGCTCGCTGCTGCGAGGAGCGGACAGT